TTCTACTAAACATAATAAAAATATTTACGATCACATTTTAGTATTTTTTAGACCGCCTAAGAACTATCTAAAACCAGAATAATTTATCTAATCCGACTAGTGAACAAATCACCACCCCCCACCCCCCACCCCCCCACGGAAATAAAATGAACCAACCCGAGAATTAGAAGCCAGGCAATTTATCTCCCAGCTCCATTAAAACTAAAAGTCACTTAAAAGGAAAACGTGAATCTTTGCAACGCTAAACCATAACCAAACAACCTCTCAGCAAGAAGCCACAGAGCAGGGGGGTAAATCCCGCAGAGAATGTGATAGCGCTAGTGCCGGTTTGTTTACAGACTCCAGCAACAATCATATGAGTCAGAAATTCAAGCCACCAGATGCTTTCCAACTAACAGGAACCAAACGGGGCCGTCCGAAGGTGTCCCAAAAGATTTGGAGGTGAGAGGGGGTAATCTAACAGAATTATACGCTAAAGACCAGACGGCAACAACTGACTCTCAGATTCTTGGACCTCGGCCTTCCGTACAAGGTGCTGGGCCAGAGAACTTAGGCTGGGGGAGGGGGACGCAGTGCGCGGGGGCCCTGAAGTGACAGCGAGACGCAGGTGAGCCGCGTCCCCCAATCTAAGGGGGGGAAATGGGAACGCATAAATGGGTCACCCGACGAAGCAAGACGTCCCTGTGAACTGTGGGGCTGGCTCTTGGGGACAATCCCAAGGCTGACCTGAGCAAAGGGCAACCAGTTCTCCCGGCAGTCATTCAGGCCAAGGGAAGGAGAACACCTGAGCCTAGGAGCTTGGGAAAGGAATCAGACCCATCCTAAGGGGAAATCGGCCACGGAGAGGGGGGCAGGCCGAGCCGGAACGAGACACAGACCGGGTAGGTCAAGGGGGGAGGGGGTATCCGGCTGGGGCAGTTACAAGCACGGGAGCCGGCGAGGCTCAGCAGCCTGCTTCCCGTCTTGGGTCATCCTTCTGCCAGCGGCTGCTCCGACCGTTCCAGGCCCTGCCGCCCCGTCCACTGCCGCCACCAACGCCGCCGCCATCTTACGCTGGCCAGCGGCCGCCACCACCACCGCCTCCGTTCTCTGCGCTTGCGCCTGCGCTGCCACGCTTTCCGGCCTCGTTTGCGACGATGTGCTCAAGAAGACTGAGGGAAGAGTGGTCGCGCGAGCTCACGGCTCCCAACCCTCCTCGAAGGACGCAGAAGGGGCGGGGCTTACGGCCAACGGAAAACACAGCAAGGGGCGCGTGCGCATTACCGTGGAACCAAAGTTGTTTTCCTAGCGTGATAGCCAAAACAAATGCGGGTTAGGGGCTTCCCAGAAGTGTAGTGGACGTAAGCTTCACTTCCAAGGGATTGGCAGGGTACTTCCTGGGTGCCTTCCAGTCTCGCCGTTTTTAAGCCCTGGAAACGAGCAGTGCACGCCAGATTTAAGACTGTACTTCCTTATATGGTTTCTATACTAATGAGACCCGCCTCTCCCTTAAAACCTCCATTTATCCATATTTAAAGGGGAGCTCGGAAGCTTGAAGTGCAGCTAAGCTATGCAGGAGGCTCTTTCCTAAATCGGTGGGGTGGCGAGGGTTCCCAAGGTGGTGTAGGGTGACGTTATGCACTCTGCGTGGTTCTGACACCTAAAGAAAGGGTGCCCAGGCTTATTCCTGGTGCCAGGCTAGCGGATTTGATTACCAGAGGCCCCGGTGTCCCTTTCACCGCCTCTACCGCTACCGTCCTATCCCACAGACACCTACTCTGGTACAGTGTATAGGGGCAGCCAGAGTGCCTTTCTAAAATGTAACGTAATATTATTCCCCTGCTCAAAACCTCTAATTGCTTCCCATCACAATTTTTAAAAAATTCTCATAGTGGCTTCCTTTGAAGGCTCTACCTAAATCTGACACCATCTCTGATTTCATCTCTCTAACTTTTTGCTCTAGTCTCACTGTCACTCCGACCAAAGTATGCTTCAAACCCCCCCCCGCTTTTTTTTTTTTTAAATGTCCACCTGTTACATTTTTATTAGACGATCTCTCCACTTAATCAGGTCTCTGTTGGAATGCTACTTCCTGAGGGAGGCAGCTCTTGACTATTCCAACTAAAATGGAAACTGGAAACACACACCATCATTCTCTGTTGTCTTATTCTCATTTTTTTCATACCATGTTTTACCTATAATATTTAACCCATGATTTTGTTTGTAATCTAGCTATGAGGTGTTAAGGGCAAGGACTTGGTCTTTTTTATCTTTGTAATCTCAATACCTTTAGAAAAGGACTAGAGCACCAGTTGTTATTTAATGCCCTGTCATCTTATACATTCTTTTCTTTACTCTGTCAACAACTCCGCATCGAATTCCCATTACATGACAGCCCTGTTGTGGGTGCTGGGGCTGCAGCAGTGAATAAAACAAACCAAGATTGATTCTTGCATTCATGGAATTTATTAACATAGGGGCTAGGATTGTAGTAAGACAATCACATTAAGTTATAAAAAGTACTGTAGAAGAAAGTAAAGCAGAAAGCAGTGAATGAAACTCCATTAGTGCAGGGGTTGGAAGTTAGGGGGAGGAGAGACCCACGGACACAGACAATAATATAAAGTAACAAAAAAGTACTGTAAAGGAAAATATAGTGGGGTAAAAGTGGGTGACCATGGTGGGTATGCTCTTTTACAAAGGAAGTTTGGGAAAGGCTCCTTGATTGAGATGATGTTTGAATAAAGATACAACATGAAGACAGTGAGCCATACACAACTGGTAAAGAACAATCTAGGCAGAGGGAATAGCAAAGTAATGACCCTGAAGTTTGAATGTGCATGGCAAGGAAGCCAGCATGGAAAAAGAGCAGGTAGGAAATTGGTTTGGAGAAACATGGGAGCCAGATCACTCACAGACTCAGGATTTTATCATAAGGGTGCAGGCAAGCTATGGAGGGAGGGCTCTGAGCAAGAGTGACATGATTTGATTTATAATTGAAGAGGCTCACTCTGGTTGATTCTTTAAGAACTGCCTGCAGGAAGGCAAAATAAAGCCAAAAGAGCAGCTAGGAAGCTATGACAAAAGATCTGCAAAACTAGTACTATTGCACAGAAATGGCAGGAAGTGGGTAGACTCAGGATGTACTTTGAAAATAGCATAGAGGTGACTTGCTATAGATTGAATGTGAGGTGTAAGATAAAGAAGAATCAAGTTTTTTGACTTGTACTAGATAATTAGTAATGCCACTTTCTGAGATAGCAACACATATTGGGGACAGGAGCAGGGCTTTAGGGGGAAACACCCAGCTCTAATTTGTCTGTTTATCAGAGAGAGAGTGCAAGCGAGCACTTCCATCTGCTGGTTCATTCCCCAAGTGCTTGCAGCCAGGAACTCAATGCAGGTCTCCCATCTGGTGGCAGGGAACCAACCACCTGTGCTAGCACCTGCTGTCTCCCAGCTGTGCATGAGCTGAGACTTCAATCAATCCACTGACATGGCACGTGGGCATCCTGACCAGAAGCTTAATGTTAGGCCAAATTCCCATCCCCAGCTCTATTTTAGACATGTTAGACTGGAGAGGTCTATTAGATTTTCAGAACTACTGAGTGATAATTGGAAATGTGAGTCTGGAGCTCACCAAAGGGGGCAATGGTGGTATAACCTGGAGAATCAAGGGTCAGCATTGTGGCAGAGCAGGGTAAGCTACCTCCTGCAACACCTGCCTGGGCACTGATCTGAGTTCCACCTGTTCCACTTCTGATCCAGCTCCCTACTAGTGTACCTGGGAAAGCAGCAAAAGATGGCCCAAGTACTTGGACCCCTGCCATCTATGTGGGAGACCCAGGCTCCTGACTTTGGCCTGGATCAGCCCCAGCCTTTGTAGCCATTTGGAGAGTGAACTAGCAGATGGAAGATCTTTTTCTGTCTCTCCTTCTTTCTCTGTAACTCTGCCTTCAAAATAAATGATTAAACAAATTGAGTCAATAAGTTGTAAATAATATAGATAGCCATGTAAATAATATAGATAGCCATGGGGTGTAGAGAGCTCAGTTACTGTGGAAGGCATGCAATCTAAAGACTGACACCTCTGGTCCTGAGGCATTGCAATTAGTAGAGGTTAGAGAGGAGGAATATCCAGCCAAATGTAAAAAGAGCAGTCAACAATAGAAAGCAAGAGTTAAGTCTTATATTGCAAATTAAAAAAAAAAAGTCTGAACAAAGATACTATACACTGTCATTCCTGCTCAAGAAACTGAGGTTAAGCTGACTGAAAACTGACCAATGGATTTGAAAACATGGAGGTTAAGACTTTGACATTAGCAATTTTAACAGAGCTATAGGGATAAAAGCACTTCCCTCCCCATCCATGTTCTGGTGTTTGTACCCAAGGTTTGTGGACACATTTCTGTTACCAAAAAAATCAACTGCAATTAGCATGAAATTTTCCCTTTCTTATTTGAGCTTCCCTATTCAATTTGAGGTTGTATGATCATTATCCCTTCAAGATATCCAGTCCCACTGATTTCTGTGACATTGTATTCCATGGATCTATTTATGTGTCTCTGGCCATCTACTTCATTAGTGTCTCTTCTTCCGCTCCCACTCCTCTTCTTTCTTTCCTCCCTTTTTCTCCATTTGAGACACAGAGCTCACATCCACTAGTTCACTCTCCAAATGCTCATGATGGCCCTGAAGCCTAGAGTCAGGAATTCAACTCAGATTTCCCACACAGGTGGCACAAACTCATCACTTAGTCGTCACTGCTGCCTCTCAGGGTCTGTGTTAGCAGGAAGCTGGAGTTAGATACCAAAGCCAGCACTCTGAAATGGGATGTGGTCATCATAACCACTAGGCCAAATGGCCACTCCTTCCTCTTCATTCCACATGTTCTTTCAAAGTGGTCATATCCATTCTCACAGTTTAAACTACATCCACATAATGATGGCTCCCATGTCTTTATTTTTAACCCAGGTTTTCTTTTCAAACTTTGCACTCACACACCTGGTGGTCAGTAGCACTTGTTTTTTTTTTTTTTTTTTTTTTTTTTTTTTTTTAACTTTTTAAAACAGATTCATTCAGATATAATTCACATACAATTCATAGTGTACAATTCAATGGCATTAAATTTATTCAGACATATACAACTACCACCAGTCAATATTAAAACATTTTCATCAGCTTAAAAAAGAAACCCAAGGGCAGGAGTTGTGGCACAGCAGGTTAAGAGCTTCTTGGGCTGCCCACATACCAGTTCAGAGTGCCTAAGATTCAGTCCCTCCTCTGCTTCAGATCCAGCCTATTGTACATGCTGGAAGGCAGCAGATGATGGCTCAAGTACTTGGGTCCCTGCCACCTATGTGGGAAACCCAGATGGAGTTTCTGGCCCATGGCTTCCGTCTGTCCTAGCTCTGGTTACTATGACCATTTGGGAAGTGAACAAGCAGATAGAAGTTCTTTCTGTATTGCTCTTTCAAATAAAAATAAACTTTAAAAAAGGAACCCAACACCCTTTAGTTATCATCTCCCCATCTTCCTATCTTTCCACCCAGCACTAAGAAACCATTAATCTATTTTTTGTCTTATGGACTTCCATACTCTGGACTTTGCTATGTATAGAATGATAAAATATGTGGTCTTTTATGACTGGGTTCTTTGCCTTAGCACAATGTTGTCAAAGTCCATGAATATGGTAGCACTTGTTAGTACATTTCTTCTTATGGCCAAATATTCCATTCTATAGACAAAGTGCTTTATGTATTCACCGGTTGATGGACACTTGGATTGTTTCCACCTTTTATTATGAATAATCATTTCTATAAACATTTCTATACAAGCTTCTGTGCAGACAGACCTGTTTTCATTTTCTTGGATACATACCAAAGAATGGAATTGCTGAGTCATATGGTTAATTCTATATTTAACCATCTGATGAACTGCCAGGATGTTTTCTCAAGCAGTTACACCACTTTACATCCACAGCAGCAACATACGAAGATTCCGATTGTTCCTCATTCTTGCCAATACTTTTCTTATTCCAGTCACTGTAGTTGATATGAAGTGATATTTTTCTGTGGTTTCTGATTTGTAGTTCTCTAAAGATTAATGATATCCAGCATCTTTTCATGTGCTTATTGATCACTTTTATATATTCTCTGGTCTATTCGGATCCTTTGCCCATTTTTAAGCAGGGTTATTTTTATTATTGAGCATATATTTTAGGTACAAGTCCCTTATCAGATTTGTGATATTTTCTCCTTCTGTTGGGTTGTCTTTTCACTTTCTTGATGGTTATCTTTTGAAATCACAAAATGTTTACATTTTGATGAAATCCAATTTATTTATTTTTTGTTGTTGCTACTCATACTTTTGGCGTTATATCTAAGGATTCTTTGCAGAATCCAAAGTCATGAAGGTTTACTCCTGTATTTTCTTCTAAGGGCTTTAGTTTTAGTTCTTATGGGCCTCTGATCCTTCTCTCTCTTTTTTTTCTTTTAATTTTCATAAATGGTATAAGGATCAAACACCATTCTTTTGGATATGGCTACCTGGTTAACCCAGTACCACTTTTGGAAAGACTATTTTTCCACACTGGATGGTCTTGGCACTCTTTTGAAAAGTCAGTTGATCACAGATGCTTTTTTTCTGCACTCTTAATTCAATTCCATTGATTTCTATGCCTGTTTTGTGCCAATACCACATATCATTACTTGTAGTAATTTCTGAAATTGAGTGGTGAATTGTCCTATCTTATTTTCAAGATCGATTTATTTCAAGTCCATTCCAATTTCTTGTGAATTTTAGAATCAACTTGCCAGTTTCTACAAAGAAGTCATTTAGGGATTCCGATAAAGACTGCATTAAATGTGGATATTGTTTGGGCAGTGTTGCCATCTTAACAATGTTAAGTCTTCTGATCCATGAACGTGGATGTTTTCCCATTCTAGAACTTTTTCTTACAACTATGTTTTATAGTTTTCACAGTATTAAGTTTTGTGTTTCTTGTTAAAACCTGAGCTTTTTCAATGCTATTGTGAATGGGACTATTTTCTTGACTTTCTTTTTGTATGCTCATTGCAAACAGAGCACAACTGTTTTTTGTATACCGATTTGGTATCTTGCAATCTTGCTGAACCCTTTAGTCCTAATAAGTTTAGTAGATTCCTTAGGTTTTTCTATATATAAGATAATGCTATCTGTGAATACAGTTTTATTTTTTCCTTTCCAATCTGGATGCCTTTTACTTATTTTTCTTGCCTAATTGCCCAGATTAGAACTTTCGGTATAATGTTGACTAAAAGTAATGATACTGGATATCTTGTCTTGTTCTTGATCTTAGGGGAAAAGCATCTAGTCTTCCACCAATAAATATTTCAACTCTAAGTTTTTCATAGTTGCATTCTATCAAGTTGAGGTTGCTTTCGATTCTGTCAATGGTACTTCAGAATTTTAAAACTAAACTCATCTTTATCTGCTGACAAACCCAAAGTGCTCCCATTCTTGTTATCTCTTAGTTGGTACCAGTATTTACCAGTTTTAGGTTGGATTTCCTAGAGGCAGAGTCTAAGCAAGGATTCTGTGCAAATGGTTTATAGAAGTAGTGCTCTCAAGTAAAAACTATAATTAAATGAGGGAAGCAAGATAGGAAAGAAGAGAAAGTTAGGCAAATATATAGGTTAAGGTGCTAAGGCGTGAACTCTAGAACATAAATGGCACATTTGCCCCACTCTGAAGAAAGGGGGGGGGGGCAGATCTTGTACCTCAGTATCATTTGCTGATAGAGCAATTTCTGATTGTCTGTCATTACTGTCAAAGCAATACCTACCAGAATCCTGACTTCTTTGTGGAAATTGACACACTTTCCAAGAATGTCCAGAAGTGGCTTCTGTTGACACAGAGTAGTTCTTAAGGATCCAGCAGCCCTCACTTGCAGGCTTAAGGGGATCTGGGCAGGATACCAACTATGCCCTGGTATACTCTACATGTGGCACTGCTCATATCCATTTGCTTGTACATTAAGTTCACCCCATCTAGTCAGGCACTTTCTCCAGCATTCCAGTTAGTCACAATTTCTGTGAACACTTAAAAGAGGAGTTGCTGCACTTGGTTCTGAAGCTATAAATGATATTCATCATCCTCCTTCTAGCTCCCTCTAGACTAAGTTTTATGCTGACCTAGGTGGCTGACCTGGTAGAGTGACTCAGATCCTGATCCCTGAAGATTCTCAGCCCTGGTGACCATGCCCATTTACTTTTTTTTTTTTTTTTTTTTTTTTTTTTGACAGCTAGAGTTAGTGAGAGAGAAAGAGAAAGGTCTTCCTTCCGTTGGTTCACTCCCCAAATGGCTGCTATGGCCGGCGCTGTGCTGATCCGAAGACAGGAGCCAGGTGCTTCCTCCTGGTCTCCCAAGCACTTGGGCCATCCTCCACTGCCCTCCCGGGCCACAGCAGAGAGCTGGACTGGAAGAGAAGCAGTCGGGACTAGAGCTTGGAGCCTATATGGGATGGCAGCGCCACAGGTGGATTAACCAAGTGAGCCATGGCGCTGGCCCCCCCACTTACACTTAAAACTAGGTATGGGAGAACCAAGAGATATCATAGGGAACACTTTGCATCATACTTTCTTCTTTTCCCATTTTATAGCAGCAGTATTATCTCCTTAGAAATTACAAGTCAATTATACTGTGGCGGTATGGTTCTTTTCTTTGCCTGCTAAGTTTGCTGAACCCAGAGTGATCAGATGGCAACCACATCTTTAAGTTTACTGAGATTCTTCTGTAGTACCTTATGGAAGCCTATCCATTTTGGGAACTAGTACCTCTAGACCTACAGAGCTTCAAGTTGCATGGACAGGAACCACAAATTCCTCAAGCAGACTGCTAGGAATAGTGCCAAACAGGATCACTCTTATTTCCACTCCTTGGTTCCAGAGCCTACTGGTGATAAAGCACCCTATAAAGAAAGTTTATTCTGTATTGTGAAAGACATGCCTTGCTTACACAACTGCCCCTTCAAAATGTCATCCCACTGCTCCACCAGGCCAGTACATCCTGAATGAATCTGGTAGGATCAGTGGACCCTACAACCCACTTGACTATAGTAATGTGCCCACTGCATGCCTGCTTTGCCTTATTCCATGGCATTATGTTGGACCTCATAGCAGTAGATCAGATATTTATATTAAGTCCTTGGATGGTAACACTGATTAAGGTACTGTAGACAGGATAGGCAAACAAAATGTTTCAATCCTGGTGAGGGTAAATGTTTGCCTCTTTCAAACAAGAAAGTCTCAGTGTAATCAACTCACCACTAAGTAGCTGATTATTCTCCTTGAGTATTACTGAATTGGGGGCGCACAGTTTTGGATGTTTAGCTTTGGCAGCAGCTAAATCAGCCTCTGTTAACAGAAGAGTCCATGTTAATAAGCCAATGAGTCTCCATCTGTCACTATGGTGACTACAAATATATGAGCTTTCTGTGCAAGCACCAGATAGCTGAGGTACTCCTGACCAAATCATCCTAACCACTTGCTTGGCTGGTGAATACTTGAATAGGTGCCAGTCACTGATCCATCCAAATGCTCTTCATTAAACTTTGTTGACCTTTGAGAACCTTGACCAACCAACTCACCAGCAGTGTGGGTTCATATATAGCCTTATCTCCAGCCACCTTTTCCTCCAAAGTAGATACTCAAGTATACTGCCTGAAGCCCCATACACTGAAAAGATTTCTTCTCTTATTGTCTTTCAGGGCCACTCTTGAGTGGGGCTACAGTGAAAAGCTGTCGGTATCCGGCTTGCCCCAGCATATTAAACCAACGAACCTATTCATCAACTAAACATGATTTTTTCCCCTCCTCTTCTATCAGATAGTTCATGTGGCCATTAGATATGAGCTGACAGAAAGGTGGTAACAGAGCTAATCCTGAGGTTCCTTGTTACCTCTGCCACCAAATTTGCTTGGGCTGCTTCTTGAATGTACCATTTCCATTTTTAAGATGGACAGCTACTGTTGTCCACACAACTTTATCATTTGGCTGAGCTGATGATAACTAATTATATAGGCAACTATCAGGGCCTGACAGCATGCCAGGAGATACTTTTCAAATGGTAAAATTTTCTTTGCTGAAGACACCATCATTTACTTCAGAATCCTGAAGGTCTGGGCTGGAACTCCAACTGGAGATTGCCAGGGAAACCACACTGCATCTCTTCCTGCAACAGAGACCTCTAGTACCATGGAATTTTTCAAGTTATATGGCTTCCTGGACCTACTGCAGAATCTTTTCTTGCATCCCAAGTGCAGAATATATGCCTCCAAAAACTAACAGGCCTGCAATAACCCGTCCTTTACTTCAGATGGCATATGCCAGAATGCTCCAACACCACTGGACTCAAATTTCACCAACGGGGCAGGTCCCTGCCATTTCTATAGTTTTATCTCCCACTGTCTTGAGAACACATTTCCCACCAAGGATTCCAGAGTTCTGACACTGCTGAAACTCCAATCGTGCAACTGGTTAGCAGTCAGCATGCACATGGTGCTAACAGAGGCAACCATTAACACTTCTTGGTCGTCAGGATAGGATTGATTAACATATCCTTCATACCTGATTAACATAACCACTGAGGTGGGTGTTTGTTGCACTAGTTAAGAGGCTGGCATCCCACACTGGGGTGCCTGGTTTGACTGCTGGATCCACTTCTGATTCCAGCTTCCTGCTAATACACATTCTGGGAGGCAGTAGACAATGATTCAAGTACTCAGGTCCTTGCCCCTCAACTGAGAGACCTGAACTGAATTTGGGCCTCCTGGTTTTGGCCTGGCCCAGCCCCCAGCTGTTGTGGGATTAGGGGAGTGAATCAGCAAATGGAAGAGATCTGTCTACCTTTCAAACAAATTTTTTTAAAAACTTAATTGAAAAATTAAAAAAGATGAAATAGCTCCTAAACATTAGAGCAAAACAAAAACAAATATCTTAAGTTTTTAAAAACCCCAAAACCTTAATACACCAAATGTGATATTCTGTGGAATGCCCAGGTCCCTTTATCCTATACTATGACAAGGGGAGTATTAACATAGCTCTAGGTCAAGACTGTGAAAATACAATGGTACTCCAAAAACTTCATGGAAATGGGGTTGAAAGGTAAGTTCATTTTGGTGCAAAAATTTTTGAAATCCATGCATTTCCATGTCTTCAAACTTCATGAAAAATGTGTATTAGGAAAAAACTGCTTAGATTTCTATTTATCCTGAATTTTCCGAAGTCCCCTTGCATAGGTACTTCCGAAAGTCTTGGAAAATTCACATTGTTTTAAAAAAATATCTACTCGTTTTCATCTACCATTTGAAAGGCAGAACAACACTGAGTCAGATCACTCCTTAAATGCCCACAACAGCCATGCTAGGGGAGAGACAGGGAGGGAAAGACAATTCTTCCATCCTCTGGTTCATTCCTCAAATGGTTGCAACGGCCAGGGCTGAGCCAGGCTGAAGCCCAAGAGTCTGGAACTCTATCCTGGTCTCCCCAAGGATGGCAGAGGCCCAAGCACTTGAATCATCACCTGTTACCTCTCAGGATACATTAGCAGGAAGCTAGATTGGAAGCAGAGTAGCCAGGATTGATCCAGCACTCTGTTACTGTGGCATTCTAAGCAGTAGCTTAAACCTGCTGTGCCACAATGCCTGCCCCTACATTATCTTTCAATTCTATTTTTACCATGAACTTTTTTGAAGGTTTCTCATATTGCTGTACATCCTTGCAAATACCAGAATGCTTCTGATACTCCTTTCTGATAGTGTTCAGATCAGTAATAATATTCACTAGATTAGGGTTTCACATACCTTGCTTTCGAGAGTTAAGCATTCCCATTAGACCTTTGCTATGTCAGGATCCTATCACCTCATCACTACTAGGGAACTAAGTTCTTTAACATCTTCCACTTGGCTCAATCTACAGAAATAGCTAATTCCAAACTTCTCAAAGACGCTGGCACCCTTAAATCAGATAGTAAATAGTTCAGGTTTTACAGGCTATGTGGTCTGTCATAACTACTCCATTTTGCTATTGTAGCACAAAAACATCCACAGACAACATGTAAATGACTGTGTCAATAAAATTTTATTTACAAAAATAGGCAGTGGACCAGATTTGACTTGTGGGATATAGTTTGCTGATCCATGTGCTAACAGCCACATACCTATACCAGAGGCTGTGTTACTCAGTCCAGTAAAGAAACCATGTTGAAGAACACTGAAATTAAGATTACTTCTGGCTGTTTGCCAATAGTCCATTGTCATCCACCATAAGCCATGTAGTTGTTGCAAAGGCCCAACAGGTGAAACAAATGAAGTGTATGATCCTTTAGATCTTTAAGGGTAGAAGCAATCTCTGCCACTTCTCACACAGTACCATTTTTAATATTTATTACCTTGGCAGATGTGGCAATGTTTCAGGAGCTGCTTCTAGGTCTTTTTGCCAACTGCTAAATATGTTCATTTTGATTACACATCTGGAAACTGGAAAATGACCCGAAAGTGAGCTTCAGGATCCACTGAGACATACTTGGGTCAGTACTGATTATCTGGCCCCATATTTCTTAATGAGAGCAGGGCTGGGAGTATTGTTGAGTATAGGCACTGAGGTGGTGTTTTGGGTCCCTGAGCATCAGTGGCAACTCAGATCCTATATCTCTGTTTCCTAACTCAAAATCTGGGTATTCTTCTTTCCCCACTGTAGGATTAACAGAGTAAATGGTTCTCTTTAAATTGATAGTTTGTGAGGCTGGCATGGTGATACAGCAGGTTAAGCCACGACCTGCAACATGAGCATACCAATATGAGCACTGGTTTGAGTCCCAGCTATTCCACTTCCAACGCAGCTCCCTACTAATATGCCTGAGAAAAGAGCAGAAGATGGCCCAAGTACTTGGGCCCCTGTCATCCAGGTGGGAAGAGCCCTGGATGGAGTTCCAGATTCTGGGCTTCAGCCTGGCTCAGCCCTGGCCGTTGCAACCATTTGAGGAATGAACCAGAGGATGGAAGATTTGTCTTTCCCTCCCTGTCTCTCCGCTTCTCTCTGTAACTCTACCTTTCAAATAAATGTATCTAAAAAAAGAAAAAAAATTTTAGCTTGTGAATCTAAGAACAGTCTCATGCTTAGCAACTGGGCAAGAAATTGTGATTTTTTTTCACTGAAATTATTATCTCAAACCTTCTCTCCTTGGCTGCCTATCTGGCTTCTAGGACCCCCACATTCTACTAGTCATCTCCATTTTGACCTTTTACCCTTAGAGAAATTCACCTACCTTGCTCCCAGGGGTTAAGTCTTGCCACTCTGGCCTTTGCTGTCAGGCATGATCTTTTTAGGTCCATTGCTTTCAGGGCAATCAGTTCTTGAACATCTCCATTAGCTTCAATCTACAAAAATGGCCACTTCTAAACTTTCAAGGATGCTAATACTCCTTCATCAGTGTCTTTCCTAGTGCCTTTATTTTAAAAAAATTCCTCAGGCCCTTCTGAAGAATCTGGTCAACTGATAGCTTTTCCAGTGTTACATAACATTCGGTCTTACCTGCCCATTTCCTCAAAGCCTTCTTTTCCTTTTCTGTATGTTCTGCCATCTCCACTTTCTTTAACGTGGGCCACCATTTTTCCCAGGCTCCCCAAAGCCAACAGTATAAAACTGCCTTGTGGGGCTTTTACAACATGCTTCAGAATCACAGAAAAATGTCCCCACTATCACAATTTCTGCATGAATTCAAGTGTTAATTCATTAAGACATCCAAACAACCATATGTTTTCTACCTAACATACACAATTTTTTAGCAAATGAACACTTCCTTTGAAAGCAGCAAAAATATTTCATATGCAACTTAAATTCTAAGCTTTGTAACGGTTATTTTTTTTTTTTTTTTTTTTTGACAGGCAGAGTGGACAGTGAGAGAGAGAGACAGAGAGAAAGGTCTTCCTTTTGCCGTTGGTTCACCCTCCAATGGCCGCCGCAGCTGGCACGCTGCGGCCGGCGCACCGCGCTGATCCAATGGCAGGAGCCAGGAGCCAGGTGCTTTTCCTGGTCTCCCATGGGGTGCAGGGCCCAAGCACCTGGGCCATCCTCCACTGCACTCCCTGGCCACAGCAGAGGGCTGGCCTGGAAGAGGGGCAACCGGGACAGAATCCGGCGCCCCGACCGGGACTAGAACCCGGTGTGCCGGCGCCGCTAGGCGGAGGATTAGCCTAGTGAGCCGCGGCGCCGGCCTCTAACGGTTATTTTTAAGCAGCAAAGAAGGCTGTAAGAATGCCAGAGATGTCCTTACAGTGATACATTCTTGCTGAAGAACAAGTTCTCTCAAAACAACTCTTGTACAGAAGTACAGAAATGTTATCCCTTTGATTACGATCTATGGAGATACTCTAAGAAGGGCCCTAGAGCAGTGCTATTCATACATTGATGGTTTGTAGACTTTTGTTGGTCTGAAACAGTTTTTTACCAGTCTGTGACATGAGGATTTAGAAATCAAGAAACTTTTTAGCATTTGACGTTGTATGTATCCAACTACATGACCAGTGGACTTACCCTGCTGAAAAGAGTCTGGATAGTCTTAGGTGTTGCCAAACTTAGACAGTAGGAAAGCACAGAGTGTAAATTGTATACCACATGTAAACTGTATATCATGGGCAATGGAAATGCATATTGATACGAAGGATTAGCTGTTTCAGAAACAAAAAACCTAGTCCTCTACCACACTGTTTGAAAAGGATTGCTCTACAGTACCAAGCTCCATTCCACTACAAGTCCTAGAATCATTCAAATAGTTATTCTGGAACAGAGCCATCTTGAGGTCAATTTGCTCTTGTTCAATCAAAGTAACAATGAAAATAAATGCACTGAGAACACAGCTAACATGGATCAGGGCATCTACTTAGATTCCTGGAGTAAGCTCCGGCCAGGTCAGCAAAAGTGAGAATTTTAACTAGGACAATGAGCACAAGGAACAGGATCCATTTGTTCTTCCTTCCTCCTCTCTATCCTTGTCTAGTTTTTGGCTGTAGCTTTAAGGAGAGAATTTTGGAATTTAGACCCCATGGCCAGCATCACAAGTCTGTATTTTTCCAATCTCTCACAGAGTACAGGAGTTCACATTCAGACCTGGGCTCTCCCATGCTTTGGTAACTTACAGAAAGTGGACCTTCTCAAACAACCTGGGGCCTCAAGATCATTTCCTTCTTTGCCAATATCACAGAAGGTGTGGGATCACTGCAGGGGGCAGGGGTGGGGTGGGAGGTCTGAACCCACAGGAAAGGGGCATGTCAGAATACCAAGCTGCTCTGACAAGAGTCATTTTTTGAATAACAATAACTGGTCATTCATACATTGAGCAGAACAGAGCCTCACCCAACATATGGCAACCAAGGTCCGTAGATCCACTGGGAGCCTCAGAAAGGGCAAGATCAGCTCAAAGAGAAATAATTTACAATACAAGTCAAAATATATTGCTAACACTAGTGTGAAATGTTGAAATACAATGCCAAGTGAAGGGCTTTCCAGACTGAAATATGGCTGTCCAGTCTCCTTTGCCAACTCAGGGGCAGACTGAGCTCTGCAGGCAGGTGGTAGTGGATCCTGGAGCCAAATGTTACAGAAAACTAGTCTCCTAACATTTCTCACTGTGCATCTTACAGAGCTGAGGAAGATCAGAAAAAGACCTAGATGAAAAATAGGCCACACTCTCACTCACAATATTTATTAGACACTGCCCCACGGGGCCTGCAGGAAAAGGGACCCAGGCTACATCCCTCCCCCTTTCCCTTCCTGAACCAAGGATTCTAAGGGGATTGGGTGTATTAAATAAGTCAGAATGTATTTGGGAAGAATGGTCTTTTCATTTCTCCAATCTGATACTACCATCAAGTTTTCCAGGGACAGAGGGAGTCAGTGAGAGGTGGATGAACTAGATAATGAGAAAAAAGGATGGGCCCTTCTTTGTAATAGCTTGGACTCAGCAGGGTTGGAATAAACAAGTATCTTACAGTGGGTGGTAAGAGGACAGGCAAAAGAAGGCAGTCAAGGCTGGGCTCACCCAGACCAAACAGCATAGTAGGAAAGACCAGGGTAATAACTTCAGTTCTCGGGTTGGAATAGGGAGTTGAGGGCTCAGCACCTAGAGAGAGGAGAATCCCAGGCTTCTCTTCTAACTCCATTCTGATTACACGCAAAAGCCCTTTCTCTTCAGGGAATTCACAATAGTCTGTCTAAAAGTTAGAGGACATAGTGACAGACTTACAGCCCCAGCCCAGGCTAAGTCTCTCCCCATTTTCATTCTGCCTGAGAAAACTGTAGAAATACAGAATCTCAGGACTCTGCCCCTACTCCCTAGATAGAAGAGGGAGTAGAGACAAGGCACAAAGACCCTGGGCATCAGTGTGGCCACATACAACATTTTGGAGTGAGAGGAAGACACATGTCCTCAAAGAGATGCCTTCCTTCACCTGGCAGCTGGGCCTTTGTTAGCAGCAAAAACCACAAGGGAGTAGGGCTCACAGAAATGGCCTGCAGAGCAGATCCTATTCCTAGGAATAGGAAAAGCCTCAGGTGGTATGGCACAGTCTTGGATGGGATGAGAGGCCAGTGGGCAGACTGCTCCAGCAGATGACATTACTGCCTCAGTTCCCAATGGTTCTGCTGACTCCAGATGTTCCCCATGGCTGGGACTCAGGGAGGAACACGTGTTGTGTTTCACATGATCAGACACTGTTCACCACTGGCACCTGGTGGGCCCGACAGATTGAGGGCATCCAGGTCAAAGTTGAGGCCAGGAGGCTGGAGAAGAGATGAAGGGATTCAGATAACTCATATTTCAGGTCAGAACTTCTGCAGGTCCATCCCCAGTAGCCACAATCATCATCTTAGGTAGAATCACCAGAGGTTACAGAATTTTGGAAACTGGGCTGAGATTAGTGCTTAGGAGAAAACATACTCACCATCTCCCCAGCCAGTTCTTTTGGAGGATGGCCCAAATCCTGTAGCTGGAAAATGAGGAAAGAGGAACATGAACCAGAGGAAAATCTCAGAAAGGACAGGAATCTGATTAGCGCTCTCTCTGATCACGTGGTCTCTGGTCACAAGGCCTTGCTGGTGCTCCTTCTTCCAGCTGGGCTTAGTAGCACAGCATCATTCCCAGATACCTCCTCCAGTGGACACTCATGTGGTCAGCACTGACGGGCAGATGGCAAGAGGGGGCCCTACCTGCTGCATAAGATCCAGCACCATCTCAAAACGAGCCTTCTGGGTGGCCTCATTGTCTGTAGGTGTCTCTGCCTCAAACTGTTCACATATTTTGCCCATGACACTGTGCTGCTCCTGGTATTTTTCATACTGCTCTGGGGGTAGAGATTCCCGGTGACTCTGTAACCATTCTGGATACTAATGAAAGACAGAACATGTGGGGAAAAAATTAAGTGAACAACTGACAGGAAAAGATAACAAGAACAATATGCATTTTACATTTTACATTTGTAAATTTTCAATTTTACATTTACAAATTTTATATTTGTAAAAAGGAGGGGAGACACAGAAATAAGCAATGCATCACAAGAAGTAGGATGGACTCCAGCCAGATCATTTGCCTATATTAGCATTTATGGTCACCAGAGACTGGCAAAATATTTCTGTGCAGGGACAGATAGCAAATATCTCAACATACATTCCTCCCGGATTCACAGCCATGAGGAGCTTAATCACAACTGCTTTGTGTCACTTCTACATTTTACTGCTTCAGTAAAACTGTCAGCTCTTTGATGGGACTGTCATTTAAATTACTCTTAAATTATTCATGATATAAAGCCAAAGAATCTTCAGTGAATCATTGTTGGAGAAACCAATGAAGACAGAAGTATAAGAAGGTGGCCAGGGGCCGGTGCTGTGGTGTAGCGGGTAAAGCTGCCGCCTGTAGTGCCGGCATCCCATATGGACACCAGTTCAAGACCTGGCTGCTCCACTTCTGATCCAGCTCTCTGCTTTGGCCTGGGAAAGCAGTAGAAGATGGCCCAAGGCCTTAGGCCCCTGCACCCACGTGGGAGACCCGGAAGAAGCTCCAGGCTCCTGGCTTGGGATCAGCACAGCTCCGGCCTTTGTAGCCAATTGGGGAGTTAACCAGCGGATGGAAAACCTTTCTCTCTCTCTCTCTCCTTCTGTTTAACTCTTTAAAATAAATAAATAATTCTTAAAAAAAAAAAAAAAAAAAAAGGAGGCCAGCCCTGTGGTACAGCAGGAAAAGCTTGTGATGCTGGCATTGTACATTAGGATGCCAGTTCAAGTCCTGGCTGCTCCACTTCTGATGCAGTTCTCTGCTAACATGCCTGGGAAGACAGCAGGTTATGGTTCAAATACTTGGACTCCTAACACCCACACAGGAGACCAGGATAGAGTTCCTGGCTCCTTGTGTTCAGACTGTCTGGCACTAGTCACCTTGGCTATCTAGGGAGTCAAATGGAGGAGCTCTCCGTCTCTCCTTCTCTGTCATTCTACCTTTCAAATAAATATATTTTTTTAATTTAAAAAAAGAGATTGATCAGACAATCCCAGAGTCTTGAACCAGTTTACAGAAAACTCGAACTAAAAGGATTCCCGCCATACCCTACAGCCTTCTTAAAAATAAAAGATTTATTTATTTGAAAGGCAGAGTGACAGAGGGAGGAGAAACAGAGATCTTCCATCCACTGATTTACTCCCCAAATGGCCACAACATCTAGGGCTTGGCCAGCCCAAAGCCAGGAGCCCAGAACCCCAGGACCCAAGTACTTCCCAGGAGAATTAGCAGATTGCTGGATAGGAAGTGGAGTATTTGGGACTTGAACTAGCTTTCTGATATGGGATGCCCGGATCACAAGCAGCAGTTTAACCCACTGTTCACAACAGTGGCCCTAGGATTTCCCCATCTTCCCCAGCCATTCTCAGTGTGGTATTTGTGCTCTCACACAGACACAACTTCCCCACTCTCCAATCCTTCCCACGCCAAATAAATAAAGGAGAAAAAAACAGAGGGACTTGTGCACTTGATTTACTCTTTCCCCACAGGCTCTAGTAGACAAAGTAGCCCATATGAGTTGCTATGATACAGAGCAAGGGGAAAAAGCAGAGTTTGGAAGTTCACAAACCTTTTCTGTGATCTCCTTCAGTGATGGATATAGTACATCCTTGGATAACAGGTTCTGCATAATACTCTGCATGATGGGGAGAATGTTCCCTTCTCCATCCCCTTCATCCATGCCCAGCCCTTCCATGGCCTTGGTCAGCTCCTCTTCTGACATGCCTGAGTTCTAGATAGGACAAGAGAGAGATGAGTAGGTATACTGTCTTCTCGGGATCCTCGCCACCGTCTCAGGTGGTAAAGAACCATCTAAAATTGTCGATTACAAAACAGTGAGGAAGGGCCAGACTGAGGATGATACACACAGGAGCCAGCATTCTGCTGACGCAGCTGGTGAAGTGTGTGGACCACAAGCCCTCACCTGAAGGTCAGTGGCGTTTTTGGCCAGTCCACTGAGTGTCTCCTTCAGGCAAGAAGTAAATTCTTGTTGGGAGGTTGCATCACTGCCTAAGAAAGATCAAAAGGGCCAAGACCACTTAGGATTTTAACCATTCCCTTGCCTGGACTGACCTGGTTTCCAGCTTGGATACCAAGGACATGAAGCACCAACTAGTGAAATCTTTGAATACTCTACAGTTATTTTCACGATCAGTTCACAGTTTTACATGACTCCTTATCACTTTAGTCTCTGTAATGGAAACAGTTTTGAAAAATCTTTTCTATTACTTCCCAACCTATCTCATCTCTTCCATTAAGCAGGATTCTCATCCCTTCACCCATGGCTCACCCCACCACCTCACGGCTATGACATCATGATAGCTATCAATTTTGCTAAGAATTCTGGTGTCTTCGAGCAACAGACTTAAGAGGTCTGCTTAGACAGTCCCATTTTCTGGGGTCTTTACCCACTCTCCTTACCCACTCTCCCGGCAGCTTCTGAGAGCTTCTGGAACTGCTCCACCAGGTGGGGCTCTTCCTCAGCCAACTCCTTCATTGCTTTCTCAAACTCTGCAGTGGCTTGGGAAGCCAGCTCACTGTCAAACAGCTCCTGGAAAAACTTCTCTTGGGAGGCGAAAAGGGCATCCTGCAGAGGAGGGGCAACCACAGTACCTTTTACAGCACTGCACTTTGGCCTGGCCTCTCACAGAAGCCACAGGTAGTAGCTCTTGGAAATGCAGCGCCTCCCTCCTACCCACCTCCACAGGACATTCTAACCACCTATCCCAGTAAGGCATCTGGCCAGTGAGGGAAGGGTACAGGGGAGCATACCAATCCAACCATTTAAACCTACTTTTTTCCCAAGGAGGTTTCTTGAGATTCTTCCACTCAGCCTCAAGTCCCTGTTTCACAAGGGCTGAGGCCTGCAACAGCACTCAGCGATCTGAGGCCAAGGCACCCTTCCCCGCCTCCCCTCTGGCCCACAGGGGCCTGCCCCACCTCTGCTCAGAGCTGCATGCCCATCCCCGCCCCCTCCCTTAAGGGACTAGAATGTGTACTTTGGCAGTGTCTCCTGGCGATTTCTTCTGGGGCCCCGATGCATCGGGGGCCGTGGTGGTAGGAAGGGGTGCTGGGGAAGGTTTGGCTTTATCGAAATCATCAAGAGCACCTTCAGAGACAAGAGACACGGTGTGTGTGTTGGGGACAGATGAGGCTGTAAGGCTGGCTGGTTTCTGGGCAAAGCATTAGGAAAACGATCGTTCATATTGCCAACTTTCCTCAGTTTTGTCTCCCCCACCCAGCCAACCCATCAATAAGCATCCCACTTAGATTACCTAATTTACTGAGCTCAAACAGGAAGAAATTCCTTAAGGTGGGAAAAGCATCCCCTCAGAGCTGCGAGGATTACAGGGTTACAGTTCTGCACAGCCATCTGCACGCACATACTCTGATTCCTGAGAAATTCCATACAAATTTCCCACAAGAGCAGAGACCTAGGTGTCCTTACTCCCCTGAATGCACTCTGGAACGCTAAAGGGGATAATCTCTGGCAGGAAAGCACCAGATGTCCCACCTGCGTCCTGTTGGACTTGGTGCTAGCACAGACTGAGGATCTCCCTCTGTGCTCTATGGCGGGGAATTCAACTTTCTTACTCTCCAACTGAGTTCTCCCTTTGGTTTCTCCCTCTGCAGATAACCATCTGCCCATTTACTTGGCACTTGGCACACCTCACTGTTCTGTTCATTCTTCTGCCTGCCCACATCTCCGTGATTGGGTAAGAGATAGCAGTAAAATCACCTCTGCCCTGAAGAGCCTGTGTTGTCACCACCACTCTGCCTGCCAAGCCTAGGAAAGGGCCAAGCCCCACTCAGGGCAGGAAAGCGACAGAGAAGCGAAGGACAAGGCTAAGGGAGAAAAGAATCTCCGTGCTCTTTCAGAAGAGTGCACTCTCTTCCCCCGGGGGACTACTGCATCCTGTTTCTCAAATAGGAAAGGGGTTTGCTTGAACTAACATGACCAAAGAACTGCAGCAGGGGCCGGGAAAGGAGAAAGGTTTGGGAGGAGACAAAATTTTTGTGTTACAGATAACAGAAGGACACAATAAGAGTTAACGCAGGCAATCCGTGAAGGTTCACTCAGCCGCCCGCCCACCAAGGGCCAAAACTGCTGGGGGCAGGGAACAAGTTCGACTTCAAGAACTTGGTACTAATCAAAAGCAAAGGCAGGTTAGAGGAGGATCAGGAAGCACAGCCCTGACAAGGCCGGTTACCACTAGGCGAGCTCCCCTGCTGCCGCCACCCGGGAGCGGCCCGGTGACCCAGAGATCGAATCAGGGGTCGCAGTCAGAACTCCGCCCCCGCCCAACCTTGGCAGAGTCTCTCCCGCTCAGCCCCAAATATCTCAGGTTCACTTTACCCTCTGAATGGGTCCCTCATTCTCGCCCCCTTCGAGCCATTCCCATTACGGGCTCTTACTTTCCAGAAGCTCCTCCAATTCCCGGTCCGCTTCGGCCGCGGCACCACAACCTTCCTCTGCGGCCGCCATCTTGCTACCTCCGGCTTGCCGTAGGAGGAGGACACCGGCGCCGCGAGCCCCGCCCTCGCCCCGCCCCTTCCCGGCAGCCGCGGGTATTATTGGCCAGTGCAGAACCGCCCTCTTTAAAGGGACAGGAAGGTTTGGAATTGTTTTTGTTGTTTTCTCTCTTGCCTAGGACCGTTGAACCATGGAGAATGGGAGCTTAGTGTTGTGCTCTGCCTTCAGGTTCCCACTTTACCTAAATGAGTCTTTCATTATTTCTTCCAGAGCTGTGGGTAGGCCAGTTTGGGACAAACTGCTTAGGAATAACCAGAATCTGCATATATGACCAAAAAAAAAAAAAAAAAGACTCTTACAGCGCATAACGTAATATTTTCCCCCTCACTTCCTCTAGTATTTCATTCAAATGTCATCTCTGCAATGCTTTTCACCAAATAAAATTGCACCCCCCAAATTTCTAATTCCCCTCTCTTTTCTGACATCAAACACTATCTGATATACTATGTATTTTCCTTATTTATTCTGGTTTATTATTATTATTATTATTAATCCCCAATCCTGTAGAGTATAAGCAGAATAAAGACAAAGGTTTTCTTCTATTGTCTTCACTGTTATATCCCCAGCTCCTGCCCCAGGGCTTACAATTTGGTCAGCACTCATTGGTCACTTTTTGTTCTTCCAGATCCTAGTCAAGCACAGTTCTCTGCTGAATCTAGTGGGTATCTCTCAGGCCCTATTAGAAAACTGTAGTTCTACGGGTCAGGTGTTGAGCATAGCGGTTAACATGTCAGTTGGGATGCCCACATTCTACACCGATTGGCGTGCCAGGGTTCAAGGCCGGCTATGCTCCAGATTCCTACTAATACACACTTTGGGAGGGAGCAGGTGATGGCTCAGGTACTTGAGTCCCTGCCAACCACGTGGCAGACCCGGACTGAATTCCCAGCTTTGGCCACACCCAGCTCTGAGCTGTTGTGGGCATTTCAGGAGTGAACCAGCAGATGGAAGATCCTCATCATTCTGTCTCTCTGCCCTTCAAATAAATAATTTTTAAAAAATAAGATTTATTTGAAAGGCAGAGTTACAGAGTGAGGAGAGAGATCTTCCATCTGATGGTTCACTCCTCAGATGGCCACAAGGGAACCAGGAACTTCTTCCAAGTCTCTATTGTGGGTGGCAGGGGCCCAACCACTTGGGCCATCTTCTGTTGCTTGCCCAGGCAATTAGCAGAGAGTTGGATCAGGAGTGAAGCAACTGGGACTCAAACCAGCTCCCATATGGAATGCTAGCAGAGGAGGCAGTGGTTTAACCCACTGCACCACAACGCCTGCCCCAAACAGATAAATTTTTAATACAAAACCTTGTCAAATTAAAGGACGCAGGGTCAGGAACTTCTAACCCAAGTTAGAGAAAACAACTCTGGGACCTTAGGGTGAGCAAGAGGGAAATCCAAATGTAGTAGTGATGAGCCTGCCTTCCCTGACTGACTTACTCTCTTTACACAGAACCCAGTCTCTGAGGGAATGAAGGTAGGAGAGGCTCAGATTGAGAACATTCTAGACGCCACTTTCCTCTTTTTGAATTGCTCTACTCAGATGTCAGAATATAGCAACTGTTTAAATCTGCTTTGGCACTTAAAGAGTGCATCTTTCATTAAAGTCTTGTGCTGAACACAGCGGAGAATAGAGAAATCAAGACCAGCCCCTGTTGTAAGGTAGTTGACTGGCAGTCTGCTGGAGGTACAAATAGATATAAACAGTTAAGTATGTCTCTCTTTTTTTAAAAAAATATTTATTTGAGAGGAAGAGTTACAGACACAGGGCGGGAGAGACAAAGTATTCTCTCCGCTGGTTCACTACCCTAATGGCCACAACACCAGAGCTGGGCAGATCTGAAGCTAGGAGGCAGAAGCCAACAGTTTCTTCCCAGTCTCCCATGTAGGTGAAGGGGCCATCTTCCACTGCTTTCCTAGGCCACTAGTAGGAAGCTGGACTGGAAGTGGAGCATCTGGGACTCAAATCAGCACCCAAATGGGATGCCAGCAACACAGAATAAGGCTTAGCTTACTATGTCACAGCACTGGCCCCATTAAGTATGTCCTAAAAGAGGTGAAGAAAAGTGTTATAAAGGTTAGATAAGAGAAATCAGATCTAAATGAAAATATCTTCCAAGTTGCTTCATCACCCTCATACTGAGCTTCTTAAACATACATTTAATTACTATGTCGGAGGACCAGCATTGTGGCATTAGGGAGTTGGATCGCTGTGTTCTGTGGTGCTGGCATCCCATGGGGATTCCATGAATCTTGACTGCTCCACTTCCAATACAGCTCACTGCTGGTATACCTGGGAAAGCAGCAAATGATGGCCTGAATGCTTAGGCCCCTGCGACCCACACAGGAGACCTGGAGGAGGCTCCTGGCTCCTGGCTTTGGCTTGGCACAGCCCTGGCTTTTGCAGTCATCTGGGGGTGGTGGTGGGGGATGTCAGTAGTGGATGGAGGATCTCTGTCTCTCCCTAACTCTGCCTGTCAAATAAATCAGTTTTTAAGCATAAACATATACACACATACATACATACTGTTGGGGGGGCAGCATTGTGACCCAGCAGGTTAAGTCTATGACACCAGCATCCCTTATGGGGATGGTTTGAGTTGTGGCTACTCCACTTCTGATCCAGCTCTCTAACACACCAGGGAAAGCAACAGAAGATGGCCCAAGTGCTTGGGCCTCTGCACCCACATGGAAGACCTGGATGAAGCTCCTGGCTCTTAGCTTCAGCCTGGCCTAGTCCCAGGCCCTTGGAATCTTTTGGGAGTCAGTGGATGCAAGATTCTTTCTCTGTAACTCTTTCAAATAAATCTTTAAAAAAAAAAAAATTTAAATAAATATTGTGTTCAAGCACCAGATCAGGTATGCTTTACTTCATGGATAGGGCGCAGAATTATAAAATCATACCCATGTAAAACTGTTTTTGTCCAAGCACAAATGGTGCATTTTGGTAGGAAATTGCTGAAATGAGAATCCTAAAACCTAAGTTCTAGTCCCATCTCTGTCCCTAAATCACATTCTTTTTTTTTTTTTTTTTTTTAAAGATTAATTTATTTGAAAGGCAAAGTTACAGGGAAAGGGACAGATACCCTCCATCGGCTGGCTCACTCCCCAATTAACTGCAATGGCCAGGGCTAAGCCAGGCTCAATCCAGGAGCCTAGAACTCCATCCTGGTCTCCTACATGTGTGGCAGGAGCCCATATACTTGGATCGTCCACTGCTTTCCCAGGCGTAGCAGCAGGGAGCTAGAGTGGAAGTAGAGCCACCAGGCCTCCAACCAGCGCTCATATGGGATGTTAGCAATGCAGGCTGTGACTTAATCTGCTGCACAACACCAGTTCCAAGGTTCTTTTCATTTCTAATCTTCTGTAATGGAATCTTTCCCTGATTAACTTCTTTCTCTCCCACACCTAAAACATAATTATTCCTGATTTTCTCACTCAATCCCAAACTGCTCACATATATCTAATGTGTCTATGGTTATATTAAACACATTAAAATTATAAAACGTCTATTTATTGGTAGTTCTACTGGTTTTACATTAATGTAGTAATACAAGAATGCTAATAAGAAAAATACTGGATAGTAATTAAGAATATTAAGATGGAGTAAAAAAGAGCATAGTTTGATTCTTTGTATTACATTTTAAACTTCTTTGTGCTTTTCTTTCTTTCTTTCTTTGACAGGTAGAGTTACAGACAGTGAGAGAGACAGAAAGGGCTTCTTTCCATTGGTTCACTCTCCAAATGGCCACAATGGCTGGAGCTGCGCTGATCCGAGGCCAGGAGCCAGGAGTTCCCTCCTGGTCTCCCATGCAGGTGCAAGGGCCCAAGCACTTTGGCCATCCTCTGCTGCTATCCCAGGCCACGGCAGAGAGCTGGACTGGAAGAGGAGCAACCAGGACTAGAACCTGGCGCCCATATTGGATGCCGGCGCTGCAGGCAGAGGATTAACCTAGTGCATCACGGCGCTGGCCCCGGCTTTTTTCTTTTTCTTTTTTTTTTTAAGATTTCTTTGTTTATTTGAAAGGCAGAGACAGAGAGAGATTTTTCCATCTGCTACTTCACTCCCCAAATGATCACAATTTTCACCAGGCCAAAGTCAGGAGCCAGGAACTCCATCCTGGTCTTCCATGTGGGTGGCAGGGGTGGGTACAAGTACTTGGGCCATTGCCTGCTGCCTTCCCAGGCACATTAGCAGGGAGCTGGATTGGAAGTGCAGCATCAGGGACACAAACAGGTACCCATATGGGATGCCAGTGTCACAGGCAGTGGCTGAACCTCCTATGCCACACCAACCTTGGAAGTGACTCTTAAAGTAAAATAAAGCTAAAAAGATACATGGCCTGTGCTCTTTGAAGGAATTCCAGTTATAGGAATTTGTCTTCCAGACATACTTGCCCCATCCATGTACTGTATGTTCAAGTTACTCACGGCAGCATTGTTTATAATTGAAAAAGATCTGAACTAACCCAAATATCCATCAATAAGAGGTAACTTCCTAAGTTACAGCAAACCACTCACTGTACACTATGCAGAGAAAAAATGAGTGGGGGATGGAATTCTCTGATACAAGTACATTGATACAGAAGGCTCTAAAATATGTTAAGTGAGAACAATACATAAATGTCAAATAGTATGCTTCCATTTATGGATAAGAGGAGGAGTGGGGGAGAGTGTATTTATAGCTACTTATATATACATATAAAATTTTCTGGAAGAAAATAAGGAAGCTAGTATCAGTGGTCACCTGTTTGGGGGAATGTATTCGGAACCAGGTGGCTGAGGAAAGGGGTGGAAGGGGAGTCTTGTCACAGGATAATTTTTTACGTTTACAGATTTTTGAACTATATAACTACACTGTTAATTGAAAATATAATTTTTAAATGCAAGAAAAGTACACATTTTAGTCCAAAAGTATAACAAGTCATTGTATTCAATTAGTCTTAGCACATGATAAGCAAAATACCGTATTGCCAATGTAATCCCAGCACTATATGTACTATGCACTAATTAATCTTACAAATATT